TTGCATTTACTTATGACCCAAGATAGTTCACTGAGAAAAGTTTGAGGGAAAACTTTTTTCCGACCAGAAACGCAGTGGACCGCTTTTAGAGAGACTGCCACTTAAAAGATAAATTACTCATGGAAGGCTTTTTTCTTTTCCTTTTTACCGAATAAGCTTTTAACATACACTTTTGTTTTCCAGTATTAAAGTCAATTTCTCGAATGGTTTTCTGAACAACATTTTGTCAAAATTACTTTTTCTGCGTAAAAGCTTGTGAGATCTTGTGGAAAAGGGGAACTGAAATGAAGGATTTGGTTGCTAGGGGATATCATGTGCGATTGTTTTAGCTGTAGCATTTTATCCAGGAGCAACAGTAATAAACTTACTCTTCGTTACTATATTCTACAAAATCGATGCTCGTACGCCGCTCATTCTTCCCCGGATAATTTTCATATTCTCTTACATAAAGTGTACTTTGTATCGGAAAAACCGCTGACTTTGTCAATGGGGTCTGCAAGTGCAAAGGACGAAAGAAACTCGGAACAAACTCATGGATCATCTGGAGTAGTTCTGCAAAATATGAAATAATCATGAAGAACAAGCCACAGTTGGTACTGGATGATTTCTCAGAAAATGAATAGGAAGGTTTTTCGAGGCATAAACATTCTCACACAACTCCACCAATACGAGCCTCCAAAATGGGCTTCTTCGCTCAAAAATATTCCACAGCACTTTGTGAAGGTTAGGTATTGATTAAAATGCTCTTAGTATAACGTTAGAAGTGAGCTTGGTATTGATTGGTGTTGCTTGTTTGTCATTGATTATCAACTTCATCGATTGGACACCCTACGGCAGATAGGTAGGTGAGTGAGTTAGTCTTCCCAGGACAGGACGGGACAGGACAATACAAAAAAAATAGGTTCTCTGAGAGGATCTTCATACTTAGTTTAAAGACTATTTTTATGCATAATATATTAAAAAAACATAAAAATATTGCCTTAAAAAATTACAATTGGTTTGAATGAAACTTTACTAATATCACTACAATTATGAAAAAAACGATGACTTTGTGTTTGCTTGAGGCAGCTGCTCAACAGTACGAATTTTATGGAAGAGCAAAGGGTCTGGGAGAGAGATTGCTAAAGAAAAAGTAAGTGATACTACATGTGTCTCTCTTCTTATGGTCAGACCTGGAGTCACAATTTATCGGTATTTCAACCACAGATGACCTTGTTCTTGATTGATTCGCCTTGAAAACATCTCACTTTAGTCAAGCATTCTGCCTTTTTTAATGCTTAATGAAACTCTAAAAAACTG